TCTGTTGCTATCACTGAATATCACAGACCAGGTAACTTATAAAGAGTGGAGGTTATTTAATGCATGGTTCTGGCAGCAGAAAGGACTAACATCAAGGTGCTGGCATCTGGCGAGGTCCTTCAAGCTGCCCCACAATGAGGCAGAGGCAGAGGACGTCACAAGGTGAGTCAGAGCAAGTGTGCTAGCTCAGGTCTCCTCCTTTTCTGTAAAGTCATGAATGCCATCGTGGGTCCCCTGTGGAAGCTTTGTTCTCTGTCATTTTGGAGACAGTGGGGCCTTTGTGGAGTCTTTCCTAAGAGGGTCCTCCCTTCTCTGGGTTTTCCATGCCTTTTATCTGACCAACCAACCTGACTTCCACCCAAAAAGCAAGTGTGCCAGAGTCCTGGGCCCCAAAAGCATGTGTGTGTGGACTGGCTCCAGTGTCACCAGCTACCTTTGTTCCGAGGTCCTACCTGGCAGAAGAGCCTAGACCCATGAGGGCACAGATATCTCATGTAGCATTTTTCCCACTGGGTGGTGGGTGTATTTTCTAGGGTTGCTATAACAAGTGACCACAAACTGGACAGTTTAAAACAACGGAAAGCTATTCTCCAGGCCTAGTGTAGTAGTACACGCCTATAATTCCAGCTACACAGGAGATGGAGATAAGGGGATCACCATTCGAGGCTGGTGAGGCAAAAATGTGAGACCCTATATGAAAAACAGACTAAAAGCAAAAGGGCTGAGGGTGTGGCTCAAGTGTTACAATGCTTGCCTAGCAAGTGAGAGGCCCTGAGTTCAAACCCCAGTACCACCAATAATAATACATAAAGGAAGGAACAGAGAGAGGGAGGGACAGAGGGAGGGAGGAGGGAGGAAGGAAGGGAGGGAGGGAGGGAGGAAGGGAGGAAGGAAGGAAGGGAGGGAGGAAGGAAGGAAGGGAGGGAGGAAGGAAGGAAGGAAGGTATCCTTTCAGTTCTGGAGGCAGAAGTCTGAACTCAAAGTCTCCTCAGGGCCACACTACCTCTGAGGGCTCTAGGGGAGAGTCTTTCCTTGTTTCTTCCAGTTGTTGGTGGCCTCAGGTGACCCTTGGCTGGTGGCTGTATCACTCCAGCTCTGCCTCATCTTCCATGGCCTCTTCTGTGCCTATGTCTCCTCCTCTCTGCCTCCTATAAGGACACTTGCTGTTGGATTTGGAGTCCATCTGGGTAATCCAGGATGACCTCCTCTTGAGAGCCTTAACTTGCTTCTACTCGCAAAGACCCTTCTCAAACAAGTTCACATCCTTGAGCTCTGACGGTTAGGGGCTGATACATATATTTTTTGAGGACACTAGTCGTTCAACACATAAATGGCATTTCTGGTATCATTTGGGGCAATTAAAATCCAAAGCAGAAATCCAAGTTCTGTGGAGGTCAAAGCTCACTGTCTTTTGAGAGGAATTCTAGAGGAACCAGGAAGGCAGCCTACTTTTCTGGAACTAGAATTTCTCTCTTAAGAGAACACTAGGATGCCTGGTTTTCATCTAAACACAGACCACCTGGAATCCAGAACCATCTTAGGATGTGATATTGGAGATACCACAGCAGAGGGTACCTGGTGTAGGGCCTCTGCCCTCTGGAGCCTGTGGTTTAGGGGACATCTCTTTGTTCCTGCCCATCACTGTAAGAAGGCTTTCCTTTATAGCTCTCTATCTAGGATCATTTTAGGCAACAAATTAAGGATGACAGACAGGAGGGAGAACTGATAAAAACCAAAGAAGGTTGTGACTAAGTGTCTAGGATTTCAGTTTGGACTGATATGTTGATACTGCCATGGGACATAGAGAAACAAAAAAAATTACATGTATCTGTTTATTTGGTCTCTGTATCTAAGCCTCATCAAGCTGAGTCAGGGAAGGTCAGAGATAATAAAGTCTCTGTAATTTCTACAGTTTGATGCTTAAAATATGTGGACTCAACTGGTTTCATTCTATCCAGCTTAAGATGACTCCAGATAGGCTTTTTTTCGGGAATGTTGCAAGAAAGAGAAGGACTATGAAGTGCAAGACAAGAAAAAGGAAGAGTGTGTGGTCATGTTCCCAGGGGCTTTACAAACTCTGGAAGGCTTAGATGTCAAAGTTGAAGGGATTAGCAAGCATTTCTGTTGAAGAAAGCGAGCCTGACATTGGGCTATGTCGCATCTCTTGGCTATTTGGGGGCCATAAAGAATTGGCCCGTCCCCATAGGTAGATATAGAGAACCTTCTGGAGGCTGCTGACCCTCCTCCTCAGCCACCATGCTGGGGACACCTGGGCAGGGACCCCAGCTGTGCCCACAGGCTTTGTCACCCCAGTTTCCTAGGTACGCCACCTCTTCTGTTCTAGTGGAGAGAAGTGAGGCACTGTGCATGAACGTAAGCTGGAAATAGAAACCATGCCTTCTTTTTGTTGTTAAAAAGCAAACCCCTTAAAAGGAGAGGCCAACTTGTGAAGACTAGCTTGTTCTCTGGTCTCTGTCTGCACTCGTCAGCATGGAGGTTGCTCCTGCCAAGGGAGTCTGTTTAGGTGCCAGTGTTAATCCGAAGCCTCTTCCAGCAGGGTGGTTGTTACACGGCAGGACGAGAGGGATGACTGTTACATGGCAGGACAGGACAGGGAAAGATGGTTGTTACACGGCAGAACAAGAGGGATGGCTGTTACTTGAGGCAGGACTGCCACTTGTGTACATCACTTCACTCTTCTGGTATATTTTGCATCTCTGCTCCTTCCACTCCACCCCAATCTGCTTTCCTATGTGAAAACCAACTGAGTTTTCACTCTGAATATAAAACTCAAATCTCTTCCTTGTAGAAAGTGAAGAAAAACTGAAAAGAAGAAAGGATTGTCATTTTATCAGCCAGATAAGGAGTTAATCGATATGAATTCCTTCCTCTGTGTTGGCCATGGTTTTAAGCCTTCACATGGATTACCTAATCTTCACAACAGCTGTGGAGTGTAGGGACTGTGATTATCCTAAATGAGGAAACTGAGGCACAGGTGGATTGTAGCCTGTCCAAGATCAGTTAGTTGGGTTGGGATGTGAGTGTGTGTGTGCACACGCCAGCATGTTCACGTTTCATAATTACGATTATGCTCTCTGCCTTTCTGAAGCTTGTCTTTTCTTCACCTTGTATCATTCGCATTTCCCATACTATTCCAAATTCCTGCCAACCATCATTTCAGTGGCTGCAGAGTATCTGTCATTTATTTATCCCTTCCCCTGTCGTTGAGCAGATTTGTTTCCCTCTACCCCTTCTTGGGTTTTCAGCAGGACGGCAGCGAATCTCTTTGTCCATAAGTCTGTGTTTGCATTGCTCAGAATTTGCACAGGATCAGTTCCTGAAGCAGAAGCGGTGTGTGGACTGGGCAGGCTCCAGACGAATCCGACCGATTCACCTCCAGGAGCGTGGGGCAAAGCCCCCCCACAGACTGGAGGGCACTGCCTGGATATTTCATATCAATGGAGTCATACACATTTCTTTTCTAATATCTGCCAATTTGGTGGATGGTATCTACCTTTGAGTTCAGCAAGTGAGGCGGGCGTGAGTTCACCGTTTTTCCCTTTTGTGTTTATACTTTGGTGAATTGGCTGTTCATGTCCTTGCCATACTGCTGTCACCGTCTTAGTGTTTTTATCAATCAGTACGAACTCTTTGTATATTAAGGCGAACAAGTTCTTGACTAGCAAGTTTTCAGCCTTTCTTCTACACCAAAATACTTGGATATGGGTAGACAGAGCCATCTGGAAAGTGGAAAGAAGCCACAAATGACCACGAGAGAGGAGAGAGGGGGCTTTGCCCTGTGGCACACTAGGGGGGCTGGGTTTGTGTTGGGAACGAGCCTCTGTGGTTCCTTCAGCACCAGCTGCATAGCCAAGACTTGGCCCCTTTGGCCACCCCAGGTCCCTGCTCAGGCCATTTTAGTTAGGGGCCTGAGGACACACCAGCTTTGAGAAGGGGTTCTGGGGCTGGGTAGGACAGCCAGGGACACTTTTACTCAGCTTTCTCCTCTCTACTGCCTACCCCCTCCCGCAAGCCTCTCCTACCTGCTACTTGATGGCTGTGAGGGGGATCTTGGTTTACGGATGTGCTAAGACTTTGGGGGACCTACTCAGCAGCTCCAAGTTTGTGCCCATGCATAGAAGATGGCCTTGTGAGCCCAGTTTTCAGGAACTGTGTCACCAAGCAGAGGACTTTCCTACCTGAGCAACATGGGAACTTAATAGCCCAAGGAAGATGGGTGATTGGGAAGAAAATATAAATGGCAACAGAGCAGCAAATGGCTTTCCTGTGACCACACGTGTCCTGACAGATGACAAATATAGCAGTAACTTGACACTTGGTTGGCTGCACTGAAGTTACTGTTTTGTTTAAATGACTGCCTCACTCACCCCTCTGTGCATCAGAGGTTCAGGGTATTAAAACGTAATGGGGCATTTCAAGTTCCAAAAAGCAAACTGGATTTTATCAGTCTGCCAGTCCCACTGGGGTTTGCAGCTCTTTCTTCCGAGGAAAGCAATCACTGTTAAATCAGAGTTGTTTTGTTGTTGTTTTTTTTTTTTTTTGGCAGCACTGGGGTTTGAACTCAGGGCCTCACACTTGCTAGGCAAGGGCTCTTACTGCTCAAGCCACTCCACCAGCCCTCTTTTTGTGATAATTGTTTTCGAGATAGGATCTCATGAACTATTTGCTTGGACCTGCGATTCTTCTGATCCTTGCCTCCTGAGTAGCTAGGATTACAGGCATGAGCCACGGCGCCTGGCTCAATCAGAGTTCTTTATGGGAGGGTGAGGAGGAGTGACACCGTGGACTCTGGGAAGTCGCAGACATCCGTGTGTGTGTGTGTGTGTGTGTGTGTGTGTGTGTGTGTGTGTGCGTGCACCTTCCTGCGGAGAAAGCCACCTCCTCTGCCCAGCCCAGGGATGCAGGTCATCAGTGGGAGTGGTGTCCCCAAGACAGGGCCTGTGAAGGGTCCGAGGACTCATGTCACCTTGTGCTTGCAGTGCTGGTGAAGGGCCAGGTCACCACCAAGTACTACCGGCTGCTGTCCAAGCTGGGCGGCTGGGTGTGGGTGCAGAGCTACGCCACGGTCGTGCACAACAGCCGCTCGTCCCGGCCCCACTGCATCGTGAGTGTCAATTATGTTCTCACGTAAGTCAGCCGGATTTGTTTCCCTTCTTGCTCTCTCCTCCTGCCCCTCATCGCATCACTTCCATAGGCGCCATCTCCCCGCCCCCCATCTCCTTCTAAAACTGTCCATTTGTCTCCTGTTCTGCTTTATTTGAATAATCTGGTACTTTGGGAAGGTCCAAACTATTTTTCTGCACCGTGGTGAGGGCCACGCGTGAAGCAGCTGTGGCAAAGCTGACAGGGAGACCTGTCCTGGGCATAGCTTAAGTTAGGTGAGGGGCGTGGCTGGGCAGATGTGGGAGGGGGAGTCCCCATTTTTTCCAGGGTGCAAAGAGGGTGTAGGTCCAGGAGCAGAAACACAAACCTATCTATCCATGTCCACAAATGAGTGCTCCTGCCATTAGGGACAGACACATTTTTCCATTGCAAATAATGGTGAATATTTGGTCCCTTAAAGATCCCAGAGGTCAAGTTCAGCTAAAAATCTTTTTTTATTTATTTATTTATTTATTTTTGAGATAAGGTCTTGCTATGTAGCCCAGTTTAGCCTCCAACTGGTAATCCTCCTGTCTCAGTCCTGAGTGCTGGGATTATAGCAGTACATCACCATGCTTGGCTCAGATGCAAGTACTTTTTAAGCACTTACACACAACAGGACATAGATCATGTTTAAATATACATTTAATTGTATATTAGATTACCACACACCTGACTCTAGCTCCATATTTGATGTCTCATGTCCCCCCAGCTCTGACCTGGAAAGGGACCTCATTTGCATCCTAAGTGCAATAAGATTCAGGCTGTTGGATCTTTCACAGTCTGCAGCCCCTACATGTTTTAGAAGTTGACTAATTTTGGTAAAACTCTCCTGGAGAAACTATTTTATCCCCTTAATCACTCTTCCTAAATAGCCAGGTGTGGCAGCATTCACAGATTCTTCCCCTATGAACACGACCTTACCCAGGTGGCTCTTCAAGGCAAAGATGAGCCCGATGTGAAAGTGAGTGAGGCCAGAAGCCAGTGTGCACCCTGGCAGGCCCCCATTCATGCTTCCTGGTGTGCACAACAGAGAACAGCTGAGTCCCAGATACAGAAATTGAGTGAGGGGCTACTCGCTCAGTGGTATTTCTGCCCTTTCCTTTTGCCTCGGCTGCCTAGCTAGTGGCCCCGCGCATCCCTGGGAGATGTCTTTGAGCTATCCAGGCTGGCAGAGCCCCCTGCTCCTGTCAAATAGCACTAACCTTGCTCAGCGTTCCCTGGTCGCTGTGCCTGGGGTTGCAGGTGGCTCCACGTTTAAAAGCCACGTGCATTCAGCCTCACTGGGCAACACAATGAAAGGCTGAGTGACACGGATGGAGCCAGAGAAGCCATTCTTCCTCCACTGCTTGCTGGATGTGACTCACTCACTCTTGCCTTCCAGGGATATTGAATACAAGGAACTTCAGCTGTCGTTGGACCAGGTCTCCACTTCCAAGTCCCATGACTCCTGGAGGACCGCCTTGTCTACCTCACAAGAAACTAGGAAATTAGCTAAACCCAAAAACACAAAGATGAAGACAAAGCTGAGAACAAATCCTTATCCCCCACAGGTAACATGCAGGTGGGGTACAGATGACAGTCATTCCAAGGGCTCAGGACACCCGGGCATGTTAGGAATGAGACCCTCTGACACACAGCAGGGATACCCTGGGGAATGAAGCAAGGCCCATAGTGGGAAGCTGATATCAGATGAACTAGTTGAGAATAAGAAAAAGAAGCCAGGCACCGTGGTGCATGCCTGTCATCCTAGCTATTCAGGAGGTGGAGATCAGGAGGATCAAGGTTTGAGGCTAGCCTGGGCAAACAGAGAGACTCCATCTCAATCACTAAGCCAGGCATGTTGGTACATGCCTGTGGCCAGATATGCAGGAGGCCATAGGTAGGAGGATTATGGTCCAAGGCCAACCCTAAGCAAAAACAAGAAATAAGAAAAGCAAAAAAGAAATGGGGGTGTGGCTCAAGTTGTAGAGCACCTGCCTAGCAAGCATAGGAGCCTGAATTCAAGTCCCCTGTCAAAAAAAAAGAAGACTGAATTGGGAAGGTAGATGTGCCTATCTGAATCCTAACTGTGGACTGTGCACTAGTGCACCGGGACATTGCGTTTCCGTTGCACTGTTTTGGAGGAGAGGGGTACTGGGGATTAAACCTCACACTTGTCAGGCAAGAGCTCTATCAGTGCAGCTGTGCCCCCAGTTCAGCATTTTTTGCTTTAGTTTTTGAGACAAGATCTCACTATGTTGGCCAGCCTGGCCTTGAACTCCTGGGCTCAAGTGATCCTTGGGTACCGCCCAAGTAGCTGGGACCACAGGCGCACACCTCCTCACCTAGCTCATAGCGCTTTTCAAATGAAAACCTTCCTTTTTATCTTTTTCTTTTTAATTAATATCTATTACATTTATTTTAAAATTAATATTACATTTCTTCCTTTTAAAATTTTATTTTATCATTTTTACATTTACTGATATTTATATTTACTTGTTTGTGTATACATTATTTAGGCCACCTGTTTTCTTTCTTCAAACAACAAGTTGTTTATGAGGTCTGGAAAGTAGCAAGTATCCATTTGTGTCTGGTGTTTTGTCAGCTTGGGGTGGGATCTCTCCATCCAGGGGCCCTGCAGTGGTGGTGGCATATGTCTAACCCTAGCGTGGGTTGGACCCCATTTGGTGGGATCTCACCTGGCCCAGAAGGCAGCTTACTCTTGGTCCTGCCACCAGCCCTTCATCTGTCTTCCTTGCCATGCAGCAATACAGCCCGTTCCAAATGGAGAAACTGGAAGGCAGCCAGCTGGGAAACTGGAGAGCCAGTCCTCCTGCAAATGTGCCCCCGGAACAGCAGCTCCATTCAGAAGGCAGCGACCTTCTGTACACACCGTCCTACAGCCTGCCCTTCTCCTACCATTATGGACACTTCCCTCTGGACTCTTCTGTCTTCAGCAGCAAAAAGCCAATGTTGCCGGCCAAGTTCGGGCAGCCCCAAGGACCCCCGTGTGAGGTGGCACGCTTTTTCCTGAGCACACTGCCAGCCAGTGGCGAGTGCCAGTGGCACTATGCCAGCCCCCTTGTGCCTAGCAGCCCATCTCCAGCTAAAAACCATTCTGAGCCATCCATGAATGCTGCCCGGCACAGCCTTGTGCCAAACTACGAAGGTGAGTCCCATTTGCAGGCAGGGAAGCAGAGAGGACCAGGAATGGGGGGGAGGGGGGCAGTGGTAGCTGTGGGTGGCAGATGAAAATGAATCCTCACACTTTGGGCAAACTTTGACCTTTTCTGCCTCTGCTTTCATGGAGGGCTGATCAGAATTTCTTGAGGTCGATGCACATGTGCCATGAGAGTGAGGAAAGACTGGCTGGCAGTCCCTGTGTCTGGTGGACACTGGCGACAATATAAAGGGCAAAGGGAAACCAAAATTCCAGCCTCTATATAAATACTGGCCCCCATTCACTCTCCCAAAGGGAAGCAAAGTTATTTTCAAAACCAGCTACTTTTACAAGATTACTTTTCACTTTCCCCAAAAGTGAATACGAAAGACAGAGTGGGTCTCTTCCCACGCTAGCTTTCAAAGTGCTGAACAAAAGAATAGAAATTCAAGGGCTCAGGTACAGAAATGCTACTCAACATCCCAGGACAAAAGCATAGTCTCCAGGCCTCAGTTTGTTCCTCTGGAACATGGGGCCATGAGTTATCAGATGTGCCCACCCCAGGACCTGGCACACTGTAGGCGCCTGCCACACTACGCTAGTTCCACCACTACAGAGAGATAGGAATGGTCGCACAGCTTCCCCCTCCTGTGGCAGGTAAGCAGAGGTCCTCAGTGGACGTGCCATCCACTGCCCAGGACACAGGCTCCTGTTTGCTTGTTGGGCCATCCCAGGCAGAGTGCGGAACGTGGGGATTGCGCAAGGAAACGCAGCTGATTGCAAGGGGACGCTGTCCCTGTGTATGGATGCACTGCGTTTGCTAGGCAGTACCCAAAAAACCACAAAACGAAACAAAAAAACTCTCTCAATTTTAAATAGTGGTTACCCATCGAACTGTGTGGCCGTGGTGCATTAAATTACGCGTAGTTATTCCATAGGACTGTCACCTGTTCTATGGGTGACAGGGCACTTCCATCTGCATCGCGATTGCGCAGCGCGGTCCGCAACGCTCAAGGGCCAGGGCGGTGACGGCCCCGGGTGGAGCGCGGGAGCGGGTGGCCGAGGGTTGGTGTTGCTTTGGACGTGCCTCTTCCTCCCCGGTGCGAGCTCTAACGTGTCGCCTGTCCCCGCAGCTCCGGCCGCCGCCGCGCGCAGGTTCGGTGAGGACACCGCGCCGCCACCGCCGAGCTTCCCGAGCTGCGGCCACTACCGCGAGGAGCCCGCGCTGGGTCCGGCCAAGGCCGCGCGCCAGGCCGCCCGAGACGCGACGCGGCTGTCGCTGGCGCGCGCGGCGCCCGAGTGCTGCGCGCCCCCGGCCCCCGAGCCCCCGGGCGCGCCCGCGCAGCTGCCCTTCGTGCTGCTCAACTACCACCGCGTGCTGGCGCGCCGCGGGCCGCTGGGGGCGCTGCACCCACCGCGCCCGGCCTCGCCTGCGGCCCCGGGGTCCCCGAACCTGCGGCCGGAGCGCTGCGACCCCGGCCCCCCGGCCCCGCCGCCGCCTCCCCGCCCGGCGCGCCCCGGCCGCACTACCTGGGCGCCTCGGTCATCATCACCAACGGCAGGTGACCCGGAAGGACCGATCCCGCTCGGCGCAGGTGGCCCGCAAGGGAGAAGCCATAAGGCCAGGCCTTCTCTGCTTCCTGTTTTACAAAGTCCAGCAGATTAAGAGGGGCGAGCTGTATATGCACGATATAAATTAATTTATACAGAGACAATTATTTTAATAGAACTCCGCAGCCGACTTTTAGATTTTTACCGTAGATGCCATAAGCGCCGGTGGAGAGGACGGGGTCGCAAGGTCCTTGTTCTCCAAGGGTCAGTTTCCAGAGGACTGAGCTGAGCGTCCCCACGGCCAGCGGGTGACCTCGAACTCCCCCGCCTCCCGGGAAACTGGCTTCCTCACCTTGAAATGAAGTTTAAGGCATCCTGCCTTGCCTTGCCCCCATGCTCAGTGCCTAGGGGGTTCAGTCATCCCAGCTCCACAAATCTCCACTTAATAGGGAAACCCCACCCGGTAGCCAGCTCTGGGGGTGGGGGGTGGGGGGAGAACCAGAAAGGAAGCCTCCTTTTCCATTCTTAGGTAAAGACAGGAAGTGGTCATTGTAAGTCCCATGAATAGACAACTCTGCTGTCTTTAAGTCATTCGTGAATGACTTCAGTACAAAACCCAGCAAGCCCAGACTAAAGGGGTGAACACGGGTGTGCCTCACAAGCACACTGACCAGCCCCTGTGGACTCTTGATAACACCAGGAACAGCACCTTCAGAATATATTCAGTAGGCATTAAATGCAAAAAGATATATATATATAGCCAGATATTTTATGACAGTGACCCTGTCAAGCTTAATTCCATGGCAAAGTCCCTCTGGCTCTTACAGACCTGTTCTTCACTAGGCTTGTGTTTTGCTACAAGTAGTGCTAATAAAGTTAGTTAAATTGCATGTGCAATATGGACTGCACCTTGTGGAAGAAAAATGTGCGGAAGGGATGTAACTGAAAATGATGTATACATTTAAAACATTTTCTACATAGGAAAGTTTCATATGAACATGTCATGTGTAACAGGTGAACAGAGTTTTATAAAGCACCAGCAGTGTTTTAAAAATAAACTTCCATTACTTTTTGTTTCATTTTGGGTTTTTTTTTTCCTTAAAAATGGTACCTGTCATGGCTCTGATCTGGATGGATGCCTTGAAGCATTCAATGTGCTCCACACAAAACACTGCATCTTTCAAAAAGTGGTTTACTTTAGGGAACCTTTCCTACCTTTCTGAGTGGAAAAAGGTTTTCATGTTTTTAACTATTCCTTCTAGAACCAAAGTGCATCTATACCAAGTGTACCAAAATGTGAAATAATCCTTGGTTAACCCTGTGTCACTTAGTGAGGGCCCTACAGGTGTCCAGTGGCCTTATAACAGGAGAGTTAAAATCTGCAAGTTTAGGGACTGGGTCACAGGATAGACGTACGCTCCTCGCTTGCACTCAGCTGCACCTCACTGGTTCCTCGGAGTGTGCACACGTACAGTAAGCTGAGGGAATCATGCTTTACGCTCAGGAGTCTCGTAATTAAGTCAGCGTTCTTGGAAGCTTTAGGTTTCATTAGTGGGAGACATCACCAACATTTTTCAATAAAATACTGCAAAATGCTTTTGTATCTGCCTGGTCCTTCAGTTGAATTTAGTAGATACAAGTCACCAAGGCTTCCAAAGCAGTTTAATAGCAAAGGTTGCTGCGGAAAAAAAAAAAAATCCTGTTACACAAATGAAAATGTGACTAGGCTGAACACAGAGCACATGTGAACTTGAAAAATAAAATGTGTACTAGTGAAAAATTCCTTGTCTGAATGAACACCGCAGTTTCATAGCCTAGAACAGGAAGACTCCTCAGAATGCCAAGCCAGCTTCCGGAGGCTCTGGGCTCAAGACAAAGTTACCATGGCAACCTAATATTGTTACCTTCAGCTTCAAGATTCTGAGCACTGAAGCCTGGGTATCCTTTCTTCTGTGAGGTTCTGGTAGGGGAAGAGGAAGCATTTTAATAAATATGCCTCTCTTTCACAGAAAAAAAAAAAAAAAGAAAAGAAATTATAGTGGGCCCTAACATGTACCATGTTGACAAAAATGCCAGATCAAATGGATTTGAGACATAAGCCCAATCAATTCAAGCCTGGCTCAGCCTTCCACGAGGCCTCCCAGGGAAAGGAATTCCTTTATATTCTTGGAAGCTCTTTTCTAGAAAAGCCATTCCATTCATACCTCTGCAGAGACGTGAAGGGGTGTGAAGGGCTCTGAGGAAATCTGTAAGAGCTGTATTCCCCCACCCCCACTTTCATCCTTTTAAAAGTCCTATCAGCCTCCATCCTGAAGTGTGTGTGTAAGGGGGCAGCTACAGATAAAATCAAAAGAACATTTTAGATAAATGCCATAGAATCACGTTAACTTAAAATTTTGGTGATTAGCAGCCCGGGGGTTATCTAAAATAATGATTTGAGCTGTTCCTAAACACATGACATATCGTACAGGACATAAAGTATGACACACGAAGTTAAAATCTTGGGGGAAAATGTTTTTGACAAAAGTTGAGCCATTTTCACAAAACAATGAGAAGAATCTTCAAAGAATGTAGAATTTACATTAAATTTCTCATCTCAGTTAAAAGGTTTGCTTTTACTTTTGAGTTTTGCTAACTTTTATTCTCTGGAGTAGTAAGATTTCTCTTTTGCCAAAACTACATAAAAATAAAATCACAAAGCACCAGTCTTTTTAATACTTAGAAATATATACATATTTTTCATTATGTCAAACATTTTATTTATTTTGTAAAAAATGCATATTAAATAAAAATACTGTAACCAAAAGTATTTGGCTGTTTTTAAAAAACTGAAATTTATGGTAAAAACAAGAATAAGCCCAAACCATAGAGAAAGTGTTACAGTTTATTTTGGTAGACTTGCTTCTTATAGGCATTGGTTCAATGTGATTCTTTTCAGAGATGACTCTGAAAAGCTAAAAAAAAAAAAAAAAAAGTCAAGGTTTACATATTTGTTTATTTGCAAGATACAACAGTAATGCCTGTGTGTTGAGCGCTAGCAGATCCAGGGAAGGGAAGTCCCAAGCCCTCCTCTTACATTCTGGAACTGCTGGTGAGGCTGGCTTCTTCTTCCACCCAGCAGAGTGAGGGGATAGCACACAGCATGTCGGGGTGGAGAGACTTTTAGAGGAGGCTGAGGCCTCCTGGAGCTGTGCATCCACCACTCACACAGCCCTCAGACAGGACACTTGTTCCCAAGCCAAGTGACTGACACTGAAGTGAGACTCACAGGACACAAATCCTCCCTACTTCTACCACTGCTGGATGGACTGCCACTGTATCAGTGGGCCACGCGAACCTGGTTATACTGTGTCCTAGTTGAGTCCAGAAGGGGCGATGCCTGGCCTTTTTAACAACATATGCTCAGGCTTCATATGAGGAAAACCCAATGTTTAAAAACACAAGCAGCTCCTGAGTTCAGCAGCCATATTTTAAAGATTATGAGAAGAAAGCAGCGCTTCCCTTTTAAGATGTAAAGCCCCTGACATCCCAGATTGCATAAACATTCCCAGTCGTGGTGTGTGATGTCTCAGGTAGACTCCTTCTCAACTCCATTCTTAAAATACCTTCATTCTATGAAGCAGATTGAAATCTTTGGTTCATGTGAGATAAAACCAGGTAGGTTTATGGGAAAATGCAGCATCTGTTTCAAGTCTATTTTTACCTCCCTCAAGACAACTGGGTTTTTTTTGTTTTTAGCAAGAACACCCCTAAAAAGCTCAACTGTGCAGAAACCGAATGGTATACCCAGAACATCTCTGTCTGCTTTGACATGGCCACACTTCATTAGTTTTAATTTCAGAAAGGAAATTAAATGATAACATTTTTTCCCAAAGCAGAACTGTCCAGAATAGGCCTTTTGCTTAAAAAAAAAAAAAAGCATGTTTTTCATTAAATAATCCCCCAAAGAAATTCAAAAAGTATTGATGGCAGCTCTGAGAGATGATTTGCCTTATATTGCAAGGTCTGAGAAATGAAACTTGCAACATTAGCCTGGAGATCTTTGTCCTTGATGATATTATGCAGACACCCTCTCAAGGGTGAGTCTGCTTTGTAATTTTGGGGTGGTATGGACTTTTATTTAAACTCCTCACTAATTCCAAAAGAAGATCTGGGCATTCAGGGAAAAATAAGATTTTTTTTTTTTTTGAGAAAAATAATTCTAACTGAGGCCTTATTTGCAAAAATTCTTTTGAAGTTCTTTCAAATTTACATTTGCAAAAAGCACATATCGCATTGGTATACTTAACTAAACGTGTTATTTCTTTTGCTCTCTGTGCCTGGCTAAAGGTAGACAGATTTCATACTGAAAACCGCAAGTTTCTGGAATGAGCCTGACCACGTGAGACCTGGATAAAGATGGTGCAAGTTTACAAGAAGGGGATTTTGTTCAAAGCCACGTGCCTCATCAAGTCGCCTTTCCATGAGCCTCAGCTGGGACTGGCAGGAAGAGGAAAGCCTGGACAAAACTGGGCTTTTAGGGCCGACAAGTAATGGGTCTTATTCGTAAATTCAACAAAGATAGAAGTTACTTGGAAAAAGTACGGGCCACATCTGGAAGTGGCAAATGTAGAAAGGCTTCCTTTCCTTTGTTCTTCCACGAAGACTTTTAGCATGTCAGATCTTGAACGTCTTCTTTTAGAGCCACTCTCTCTCTCTCTCTCTCTCTCTCTCTCTCACACACACACACACACACACACACTCAGACACACGCACACACGAATCCTCCTTCAGAACCATGGTATTCAGTACAAAGATTCTATCTTTTGCACATGGCACCGTCTTGTAGAAATGCTCTGTATTTTGACTACGGCTCCAAAAACCTCCCTTGCTTGTGGCTGAGAGTTCACCTTCATCTCCTGCTGTGTGAGCCAAGCATCACTCTTCCCTCCAAGAGATGCTCCATGAATGCTTGAGGAGTCTTGAACTTGATCCCATCCTTTTAGAAAATGCAGCAAATTTGAACTTGGGAAGTAGCGCTCAGAAAATAATGTTAAAGTCATTAACTGATTTCCTCTATGGTCCCTGCAACCTCACTTGGCTGGGTGGATCTCTACAGCCATTCAGACATTGTTATCAGGCCACCACAGCAGAGAATAACTCTTGAAAGTCTGCCTTTCTCTCTCCCTCTCTCTCTTAACAACCACAGAACAATGATTAACCACCACCTGTATAGGCTGGTGGGGAAATCCCTCCCTGGGAGCTTTAAACAGAGTTACTATACTCTAACTCACCACTGGCCTGGGCCCAACAGCATTTTTTGACTTGTTTTTTTAACAAGTAGGTGTAAAGACTTCCTCTACTGGTAAGCATCTCAATCATCCCGTTGCTAGTTCCTTGTTAGAAAAACCTTTTTTCCCCCCAATAAACCCAAACTCAAGCTAAAGGGGGAGAGTAATTTCACACTTCTGGTGAGGTTCTACCGAAACTCAATCTTCTACCTGTCACTCCTCCAACCAGACGCATCTTCTAACACTCAATAAAATGACTACAAAACATACCTAAAAACCCAGAAAAAGTGGCTCACGCCCTGTAATCCTAGCTACTCAGGAGGCAGAGATCAGGAGGATTGCAGTTCGAAGCTAGCCTAGGCAAAGAGTTCTTGAGACCCTATCTTGAAAAATCCTTCATAAAAACAGGGCTGGTGGAGTTGCTCAAGGTGAAGGCCCTGAGTTCAAGTCCCAGTACCACAAAAAAACAAAAACAAAACAGAAAAATAGGGGGAAAAATTAAAGAATCAACAGATGCTTTGGGGATGGGGGAGGGGGAGAGCTTCCTCTGCATTCCCTTTCCAGCTCCCAGGTGAGCAAAGGCGACAGCAATGATGCAGGGATGCTTGCTGCACACTCAGCAGGCACTGTGCTCACTGTGGATGCATCCCAGAGGCAGCCTGGCCACAGGCGTCCCAGGAGTCCCAGGCCTGCAGGATCTGAGCTACTGCCACTTGGGCAGGATGAGGTTTCTCAGCATGTCAAAGGAGTTGCCATCTGGATGTACGGTCACCACTTCGCCCCCTTCCTGATGAACCTGCAGGAACCCAGAATCATCCAGGCCCACGATGGACACCTCTGGCCCGTCGGTGCTTCCCAGGCGGACTTGCTGACCACTGAAAACGAAGAACACCAGAGTCACTGGGAATGTGACTGGGAACGTACCATAATACAGTAACATATCTAATGTACATTATATATATATGTAAATACATATATATGGAGCTAATATATACGTATATTTTCTAATATAGATCTAATTTGTTCATGTTCAAATTTTTAAATTAAAATCCTTTGTGGCTCTCTCCCTCTGTTCAGGGCCTAATTAGAACACACATCACATCTGGCTGTCATACCTCTTTAGTCTTCCTTAATCTCAAACAATTCTCCCACTTTGTTTCTTTGCAGACACGCTTCTGAAGGGAAGAGGTCTGTCCTATAGCACAGGGATTCTCAAGTGTTAGCTACAGGAGAAATCCCGGGCGCATTTGTGAGCACACAGTGCTGGCTCCAGCCCCAGAGCTTCTGACTTAGCAGGTCCTGGGTGTGAATTTGCATTTGTAACAAGTTCTTAGATGAGGCTGCCACTGCTACCTGGGGAATCTCACTTTGAGAACCACCGTTCTAGAATGTCCTACCATTTCGATGTGTTAAATCCTATTAAACTGATTTAAGATGCTCTCAATGTTGAGTCTGCACTGCATCCTTCCCAGAGGCACAAGCTCCTAGTTCTCCCCTTCCTAGCTATGCTGATGTGGCCATGGTGGTGTTGGCTGGGTTTCTCCATCACAAAGGTAAAAAAATAATTATTCAGACCAGTGCTCAGTCCCTCGTTTTAAGATACGGAACTACTGACTTAATAAAGGAATTTTATTTTTCATTTATTTTCCTTTGGGTGGTACTGGGGGGTCGAACTCAGGGCCTTGGGCCTGCTAGGCAGGTATGCTTCAGCCACTCTGACAGCTTAGTAAAGGAATTTTAAAAAGAATGAAGAGAAGCGAGCACTGACCTATGCACCCAATACTTATAATAAAGTGGAAGAATGCCATTGGGCCCTTTGACCTGAAACGTGTGGATCAGTTCCTCCAGCACAGTCACGGCCCTGGCGATGAGAAAGTCAGCTCGCAAAGGGCTTCAGATCTGTCTTGTGTTGCTTATTGTATTCTGTGATGAGGTCGTTGATGCATATGGTAGGGTTACTGTTAGTCACATTAAATCCACAGCCTGCACAAAAACAAACAAACAATTGAAAGAACAGCAGCTTGACATCCCAAAGGCACCACACAGTCCTCTTCACAGCCAGTAAAAGGTTCTTGTTTCTGTGGTGTCGGGGATGAAACCCAAGGCCTTCTATAAGGTAAGGGAAGCGCTCTACTACTGAGCTACACCGCCAGGCCTAAAGCTAGCTGTTAGGGTCAACACCTGCTTCCTTGTCCTCATTAAGCTTGCTATCTCTGGCCACTTAGAGAGCGATTTATATGGTTAAGATATCTTCTTTTTTACCCTTGTTCAAGCAAGGGCCATCTCGAGCTTCCTGCAAAGAAGCTGGAAGTTAATGTGACGGAGTGAAACAGAGGCTGCCACTGGGCCAGAACATCTTTCTGAAATGATCATCCTTTCTTCCCCGAGCCCAGTATAAAATACAACCTCTGCTTTCTTTTCTGCCTTGAATGACAGAGCACAGGCCTGAAGAAAATTTTATCCAGGGCTTAAGGAGTAAACTCTTGGTTCAAACTCTTGATTTCAAACCTCGGTCATGAGCAAATCCCTAGCACACATCTTTCAATGCTTTACATCTGGAAGCCTGGGTGCTGAGGTTATGTTGCTGGTAGGGCTCAGTGGCTCTTTTTCTTTTCCAGATTCCTGAACCAAGGCTGTGGAAGCCTGAGTTTCGAGGGGCGGAGTCAAGTCTGAATGAACTCATCTGTGCTGCTACCTGACACCAAAGGGAGGCAAGCTTCTCCAAGAACCCAACCACAGTGTGCAGCAGGGCCCCAGTCAACACCAGAGGACTTTAAGAACAGAAGAGAGACCAAAAGAACTAGGATGAAAGCCCTTCATGTTTTCACGTCCTCCAGACAGAACAGTCCCTAGAGAGTTCACGTCAGGTGGACGATTGCATTCAGTGACAGTACACTTCAGTACATATCCATCCACTTGCAGTATAAAGGGAGGGAGTACTGACCTCTAGTGATTGTTTTTCTATGAATTCTCCCCACTTCTCTACGTTGGCTTCACTTCCCTATATTGACAAGATTCTTTAGCTTCCTGAAGCCACCCACAGGCCTCCGTATATGTGAATGCTACTAAGGAATCTGCATCCAGTCCAAGGACTCATTTCAAGACAGGAAGTGGAGCTGAAGGAGAGGAAGCACCCTGCCCAGAGTAACACTGGCTGCAGTTGGTAGCACAGCTGGAGACATGAGCCTTGTGTTCTTTGGCTGGCACTTCCAAAACAGGGTCACATGTCTGGCTAGCTGATCTCTGAATGCAAATTAAACTCTACCAGACTTTAGGGAGAGGCAGGAGGTGGGATGATCAGGAGTCTAAGAACTTATGAAATTACCTCTGCATCCATCTCCTTGCCTGATTTGGATGTGTGGAGGTGAAGCAGGGATTCTTTACCCCACCTTGACCAGACTGGAGCTTCTCTGGAAGGTTAAAAAGAAAGCAACTCTTTCATGGATGCAAAGGTCAAAAGAATGCTAGACTAGCTGGGCGCTGGCAGCTCAGGCCTGTAATCCTTGTTACTCAGGAGGCAGAGATCAGGAGGATCGCACTTGGAAGCCAGCCTGAGCAAATAGTTCCTGAGACCCTATCTTGAAAAATCCCAATACAAGAACCAAACAAACAAACAAAACCAAAACAGGGCTGGTGTAGTGGCTCAAGATGTAGGCCCTGAGTTCAAGCCCCAGTACCACAAAAAAAAAAAAAAAAAAAAAAAAAGAATGCAAGACCAGTGGCAGAACTACCTTAGAGATTAGTTTTTTTTTTTCCTTATTACCAAATGGTATATTTATTTTCACCATTTCAAACTCGAAGAGAAGTAGGAGTACAGAGCGGTATAAGAAAACCCTGGTTTAATGTGATTCCACTTGGGTAGTTTGCACAACCATAGACAGGAAATGCTAACCCCATGAAGTGTTTCAACCCACCTGGTCCCCTCTGTATACATATAATGCTTAGAACACTCAAAGCAAAAGTTATCTCCTATGATCACCTGCTCCTCCCGATGTAGCCATGCATAAATCAGTTTTATTTTTGTTGTTTTTTTAATCTAAAAATACTGTGGGGGTGGGGGAAACTTTAAAAACTCACCAATAAGTATATAAAATGTTTCTCCCATAAGTGTTGAATTAACCAGAACTCCACCAATCTTCATGAGGTCACTGTAATAAATGTCATTGGGCCACTTCACTCGTAAGTTGATGTCCTAAAAGGAAAATCTGCACATTAACTGGGAAAATGTGCATGTTAATTAAGCTATCACAGGGCACAAAAGGACTAGATGAAGTCATCTAGCAAAAAGAAAGATGAGCAGAATACTCTGGAAACTGATGGAACCTGGGCCTCATGCTTGCTTCTTTTTTCAGACAGCTAATCACTGTTGGGGGACAATTTCTTATAAAGTACCTGTTTGGACTAGAAGGTGACAGACCTACAAAATATACTTAGCACAAATCCAGCACTCTCTCCTGCCCTCCATGGCAGTTTCTCTTTGTGAAAAGCACTTTTTGAAGACGCCTATCTTGTGAGACAAGTGCATTAAGTATCTCAGGATCAAAACCACCCCTGTGTCGTACCCAGCCAGTGCTAGGCTCAGAATTCTCTTCCCTTAGGAAGGTCCCATTAAGCCAGGAGCTCATTCACGCCTGTAATCCTCTCTACTTGAGGCAAACAGTTTGTGAGACCACATCTCAAAAATAACAAGAACAAAATGGACTGGAGGTGTGGCTCAAGCAATAGAGCTCCTGCTTTGCAAGCATGAAGTCCTATGTTCAAACCCTGGTCCCACCAAAACAAATAAGCTCATGCTAGAGAGGCAAAGATGGCTCTGAACTGACCGGTGTCACACAAGGCAGGGAGGAATGCCTCTAGTAGAATGCTCTGAGGATGTGGAGGAGGGGCTCGTTTTACTGAGTTATTCCAGAAAGTCTGGCAGAACTGCCTATAGTCAACTTGGGTAACAGAACTAGGTTTCTCATGTGGCCATTGCTTCTCTATCCTGGAGCCTGGAGGCTCTGCCCACAGTCTGGTCACAGTAGAATGCACAAAGGATGGACACTCCCTTGAGCAAGGCCACCCAGACCTCCTCCTATCCTTTAGAAGCACAGAGTGGATTAGACAAAGGGGGCTCCAGAGCCCCGGGGCCTCTTCGACTTTGGTCTGGCAGCCAGGTCCAGCCATGTGCCGGCAAAGGAAGCTCCTCTGGAGAGGCTGGAAGAGACACTCAGCAAAATGAAGGTCAGAGAGCTGCTGACCTTCAAGTATGGGGCAGGTCTTCTGCACTGCAGGTCAGGCACAGCACTGACCCCTTCTCAGTGCGAGGCTGTATCAGAGCTACACGGCTGACTCGAGGCTCATCCCCATTTTATGGAGGAAGAGGTTACATGGCCGCCTGTGGCTGCACCACTTGGAAGACAGTGCTGGATGCAAGCTCAGGGCTTTGACACCAAGCCCAGGTGCTGATCGCAACACTACGAGGCCTATTGCTTCCACGAAAACTCTTGACGACACAGATGTCTGGGCTCAAAATACCAATAGTGCTAAGGGTGACAGACTTGTCTCAAAAATCTGTAGACTGAGACTTTGGTCTCCATCGCTCTCCTAGCAGCTCTCCTTCTTCTCCCCTCTTGCCTGTCCTCCTCCCACCTATGTTCCCCATGGGGGTGATGGTGACAATGCCAACAGAGTTCCTAGGGCTCAGACCCAGCTCCTCCACCATGGGAGCAGTAGCTTCTTTCTGAGCTGAGCCTGTGCTTGGGAAATGGCTAGCCTGCACATTCTCAGATCCCATTCAGGAATGAGAGCGCTTATGAAATTCTGGGTCCTCGTGCAGGCAGACAAGAATGTCTACCCCAGAAAGGCTGTGAGCTTGTTTTTCCTTTTCTTTTGATCATTTGTTCAAACTGCCACTGGGATTCTCTTACACAGAAAGAACTGTGGTCAGTAATGTGGGGACTCACAGAAAAGGAATTCTGCTTTCAAAGAGCTGGGGAACTTGAAGGAGATGGAACAGGGCCCATTCAACTCTGCTTAGCAAAGTGACAGTTGGCGGAGGCCATAAGAGAGGTCATGTAAGGTGCCAAAGAAAGGAGAGATACCATTGGGAGATTCAGAGAAGTGCATTTGAGCTAGGCCTCAAAGGATAAGCACAACTTCAAGATGCAGATAGAGGGGCTGGGAATGGTGGTACATGCCTGTAATCTCAGCTACTCAGGAGACAGAGGTAGGAGGATCCAGGTCTGAGACCAGCCCGGGAAAAAATGTGAGACTCTATTTCAAACATAAACTAAAAAGCAAAATGACCAGGAGCATGGCTTAAGGGCCTAGCAGGCACAAGCAAGGCCCTGGGTTCAAGCCCGGGTACTGCGAAATGCAGACATGCATACATACTTACACAAGCAAATCAATAAAAGATCATAGAGAGGGCAGGTGTACAAGGGACAGGAGGGTCACAGGAGCCCAGTTGGGAGGTTAGGAACAGAAGAAGCAGTGGAGCCATGGCCAGAAGCCCACAGCAGGCTCTGGAAAGAGCTCTGCATTTCACCAACACCGACTCAGTCTGAGAAGAATGGTCTTGATTTGTGTGCTGACAGTGACACCCAGCAAGGGACAAGTTGGCACCCCAGTGAAGGCCGTAAAAAAGGGAATGTTACATGACAAAAGGCTATTTCAACCATGTAGCAGCTGTTCCATGTAAGCAACTGAGCGATGTGAAAAACAGCTCCAAAATGAAAGTCACATCATACAGGGGAGGCTGAGATGGACAACTGTGGAGGCAGGGTAAGCACTGTGGTGGCAGCTGCTTCAGGTGCACCATGGAGGGCAAGCTTCCCCCTCCGCCCCCCCCCAGCCTGCAGCTCCTAGCACAGCTTCTGCATACAGGAGTTCAAAAAATGCACGCCAAGTTAACTAGTTAGGCTACAAAGTCAACGTCAAAGCCTGAGAATGGCAAGCACCCTTCATGTTCTAGACTCAGCGTTCCCGAGACCGTCCTGTTACTGAGGTTAAAAAATGCCTTCTCCTATGGCAGAACTTTACATTTTCAGTGTCTCCTCTGAAACCAAGTACAAGGTACTGCTTAAAGGTCTGAAACAGGATTTTTTAATCCATGGCAGATGAACTTTTTGGAGAACATGTGGGAAGTAGAGCCAGGTATGGAAAAAAGGCTCCAGTCATGGTGTTCAGAGCTCCATTTGCTTGTTTTTGTTTTTTTGCAGTACTGGGGCTTGAACTCAGGGCCTATACCTTGAGTCACTTCACCAGCCCTTTTTTGTGATGGTTTTTTTCAAGATAGGGTCTCAAATTTATTTGCCCAGGGTTGGTTTTGAACTGTGATCCTCCCGATCTCCACCTCCTGAGTAGCTAGGATTACAGATGTGCGCCACTGGTGCCTGTGCTTGCCTGGTCTTTTTCATAATGGACCCCAAAGCATCCAATAATAATGACTCAGGTGCATCTGTGCTTATGGAGGGGTTGGGGGTGGTGCTTCCATTTAAAAAAGCTTGTCTCTACTAGGATGCAAAGATATGTGATGAACTGGCTGAAAGGGAATTCTGGGGAAGGAAGACTTTGTGGTGTGACTGCAGCAACAGTATCTGAGGCACTTGCAAATTCCAAGAGCACTTAGGGAGCAGCCCACACAAAGAGCACCACCAGGTATGCCAGCATACACTGCGTGCAAGCAAGTCAAGTTCCTCACCTTCACCAGGAAGGTGAAGGGCATTCAGATGGGCACATGTGACACTTACCTGATACTCGGGAATGGAGCGTACAGCCTCCACAACAGCCACGGACATCAGGTGCTGGACAAACGGAATCCTCTGTCCCAGCTGGGACCGCAAGGGAATGGAGACCAGCAGGGTGGAAAGGGCACATCCCATGGGGCTCAGCCAGGCATTTGGTCCCCGCCCTGGAACAGAGGCCGGGTGGGAAACTGTGGCTCGCTACATGGGTGTCACACTCAGATGCCCACAGCTGCCCGTGGGACAGCTGTCCCAGTTGAATCCACCTGTGCTCGGTACGATGTCTGGATACTCGGAGGCTAACTCCATGAAAGAAAGGCACTTTTCAATTTGAAAACGTTTCTGATCAGAAGTGTAACGCTCTGCCTCTGTGAGCGAATCGTTTATATTGGGATGACTGAGTCCCCAGCATCTCAATGTCCCCAGCTTTCATTCTCATCGGATGGTCAGGCACATAAAAACAGAGACACCGGGAAGCTGGAGTGAACACCACCCATCCATGAGGAGTTCTGGAAACCACTCTTGAGAAACAATCCCTACTGTGGTGCTGGCAACCCGGCAAATACACTAAAAACCAGCCACTGGGGTTTGAACTCAGGGCCTATACCTCAAGCCACTCCACCAGCCCTTTTTTTGCGATGGGATTTTTTGAGATAGGATCTCACAAAGTATTTGCCTGGGCTGGCTTTGAAACTCGATCCTCCTGATCTCTGCCTCCTGAGTAGCCAGGATTACAGGCATGAGCCACTGGTGCCAGCTACTTCTTTTAAAACAAAACAAAACAAAACAAAAAAACTGGTGCTGGGGAGGGAAACCAGGGCTTCCCACATGTTAGGCAAACGCTCAACCCCTGAGCTACACCCCACCCTGAGCTGTACACTCTGAATGGGAACCTGCTATGGTATGTGTATATTATCTCAATAAAGTTGTTTTCAAAAAGCAATTCTCTGAATTGCTACTTGTTTTAAAATTGAAATTAGAAAAATAAGATATTCAAAAGGAGTGGTACAGTTGATAAAAATTCTTCTAGCATATCTTTTAAAACAATCTACTTCACAGAGTCACACAGCTTTTGATACAATAAACTTTTTTCTATTTGAGATAGAAATAGAGGGGATAAAGGAGAATGGTGGAGGGGATGAATTTAAGTATGATATATTTGATATATTGTTAACTTTTGTAAATGCCACAATGTACCCCCACCCAGCACAAAATAAAAAAAAATCAAACACTTCTAGCCATACTGTGCATAACATTTTATACACTGAATGAAAAGAATGTAAATAAGTTCTTTAATTTTTCATAGAATTTTGTTTAATGTTTTCTAAATTATTACATGGATGTAGATATATGCCATGCAATTCTGATACTATTTTGTGAAGGTTATAGGGTAGATATAAGTTTCCTCATTGCCTGGAAGGAAAATCTCAGAACAGAATTATTAGCTATTTAGTAATTTCTCCAGTTCTGGGCTTTTTTCCATGAGCAGTCTATGTACATTAGATTCCTGAAAGACTGTGGCATTACTGAAGGGAGTTTTACAAATTGTGATAGTGCCTTACATGTTCTCTGTAGACAAGGAGCATTTCTTACGCATGTATACTCTATAATTTGAAAAATATATTTAGGTGCTATGTGGATTATAAATCATGTGCCAAATATATATTATTACTATAATCACAATAATGTCATCATGTAACATATCATTCAATGGATATAAAAATTACTCTTATTTATGAAGTCACTCAAAATTTTTAAAAAAGAGAGAGAGAGAAAGTAGAACACAGAGATCTCTTATCCCTCTGCTCTTTCTGACAAAGCTGAAAGTCTCAGAGCTGAAAGTGCACTTGGGCGGGGTGGGGTCTGAGGGACAGGAGCCAAGTGACCCACAGAGCCTCCTTCAAACACTGGGCGGGGAGCCTGCTCCCAGCCAGACCCGAGCGGGCTCTGGGAGGATGCGGTTCTTGCATCACAAACAGCAGGTGGTGGGGGCCACTTTGGTGATGGACAATGATCAAGTGCCCCCTACCTGGAAATTCCAGTGCAGGCTGGGTGGGGATCAGCAAGCAAGAGGCCCTTCAGGTAAATAAATGTCTCTAGAACTCAGCCATGGCCACAGACAGAAAAGCCCAGAATGTAGGCTGCTGGCTGTTGCTACATCCAATCAAGTGATTACCAAGCCTGCAGTTGGGGAGGACGCTTTCATTCTACGAAGGCTGACTTCCTATCCTTATTGCCTTCCCACTTTCCCACTGCAGTGCGGGGCGGGGGCGGGGGCGGGGGAGCATGAAAACAGAAAAGATTACAATTTGAGTGGTCTCAAGAATTCAGCACACAAAATCAGTGGGCTCTCTGACCTCAAGAATCAGATTTTTGAGAAGAAAAGTAAGAGCAACACTAACAAAAGATGACTGACCTTTGCCCTGGGTCTGCCGGCCTGCAATGGCAATTAAACCCATTTCCTGTGGCACCTCGAACATCAACCTGTGAACAGTGGGAAAAACTGGTCAGCTACAACAGGGACACTTGGAGGAAGACCAACAGCCTAGACAGAGAGGGGTTTGTGTGCATCTGGCCGTGCGTGGACGAGGCGGGGCAAGCTTGGGGCTTCAGTAGAGAGGGACAGTGGGAGGAATGGTGCCCTTCTTCATAGCCTCAGTCCTGAGGATAACTGCTCACAGATGAAGAAAACGCCATGGGTGGGGGGCAGGGAACGTGTGTGCATATGGCAGGTGAACCTGCCTCTGCTGTCAGTTTATTTAAGACTTAGTTAGAATATTTTGGAATGTTTTGGGATATTATGTCAAGTTCTTCCCCCTCTACGGGGTGTACCTCCTTTAAGTGACAACTGGCATTGCCTGACATTTGTTTCTACTTACGGTGTGTTTCTGGTGGAACAGAGCAGAAGTTTCTGATTATTCAGGAAACCAAGATGGTGGCAATAAAGTGGTTTAAAAGATACACTATCCCCTGAGAACTAATTATGTTTCAACTGTAGTTAACAAATCCACACCTTCTGAGAACTCAGGAAAACCCTGGGTCATTTTAGGCTTTGGTTCTGCAAAGTGTAGGACATCTCCAGCAAACAGGTCAATTTTTTTTTTCCAAAGAAAAAAAATGAAAGGAAAAGGTTGTGGCGGGGGTGGGGGGAACTACACAGACAAAAAATCCCTCACTGAAAACCCCCAGTGTCGCTAATCTGGTACCGAGCAGAAGTACTTCATGGTAGGATGTACCACACAGCAAAAAGTAGGTTGGCCCATTGGCCAACCATTAGTACAGCTGGGAAAGTGTCTTTGAAATTCTCCTTTCTGTTTTGTTCCTTTCTGTTTTTTTGAGGGAGGGGAGTGGCATGGCAGAGAAGGGGGAGAAGTGGGATCTTGTATTAACCTAGTTTCCAATAATCAGTCTGGAGTGTTCCATGGCACTCCTGCAAGGAGACGGGGCTCTGCATTCTGTCCTGTCAGCTCAAGGAACCACATGCGTGGAACTTTACAGATGGCTGGAACTCAGTGAGAGAAGAAAAACATCTCAAAGCAGAGAAAAGTGACACGCAGTCCACACAGCATCCCCTGCACCCCAGGGCTCACAGAGCTCCCCTCTTGGAGGAAGAAGAGCCCAAGGACCCTTTGTTTGTGAGGGAGACCCCAGGCCGCACTGGGTAGGGCCTTGGCTCATGGGACAGCTGCCTTCCCCTGGCGGCACAGGGCACTCGGGGCAAGCCGACCATGCGCCAGTACCTCTGCTACCTCACATGAAATAAGCCCCACAAGTATTTCTCTTGGACACCATGAATAACCCATTGAGATCGAGTGTGCCTATAACCCCTGGGCTCCAAGAATAAAGTATCCTTTTCTTGGGTTAGACAGGCAGAAAATCCTAAGAAGGATTCTTTTGTGCATGCAGGGAGTTAACATTGTCTTCAAGGAATGTCTGCTGTCTGGAGGGTCCCGAGGCCCAGGGCTCTCAGGGCAGGTGAGGGACCAGGAGGGATGCTTGGATGGTCTTTAAATGAACATGTAGACAGCAGACAGTCAAACGCTGCAGCCAGTGACTGGGATGTGGCAGGAGAGGGTGAGGGGTGTGGGGAAAACAGTGGTTCAGAAACCAAACTCAGACTTCTAGAACAAAGAGAAATGATTAAGGGAACATATGCACTAAACTGCTAGAGGTTTGGCAGCAGTTAACAGGGCATGTTAATGAGAAGAGAGGGAGCCTGCTGCTGAGGCTACAGGAGAGACACAACAGGGGAAGGAGCGATCGCTTAGCTACTTAGCTCCAGACAACCAGAGGCTGCCACATTTATTTGTGCTCTCTGAGATGACTCTGGGGGCCAAGCTGCAGAGCTCATGGTCAACAAAGAAGCATTTATGAACTTTGTCAATTTTGCATTTCTGAAAATGGAGCTGCCGCAGCTTGCTTTGTAGCAGCAAAGAAAGAAACCATAGATGCATTTCCATCCATTGCTGATGATGTCCTTACAAAAAGGGCAAAAAAGCAAGCAAGCAAGAAAGGGCTGCATAAGGACTACCTTATGTGTGTTGGCAAAGGTTTGGGGAATAAAAGGTTTCTATGAGTGGCGGCTTACAGACACTAGAGAAAAGTGCTCTGTTCTGAGGCCCATAAGGGTCACTTTGCAAACAAACAAGTCATCCCCAGTGCATTTGAGTTTCTGAGGACATCACCGGACCCGTGGGGTGCTCTGCCAAAGGTGCAGCCTGATTTTCCCATGGTCATGAGGATGAAGTTTCAAAAACTAAGACTAATCTAGAAGATGGGCCGGGAAGAACTGGTAAAAACTCTGAAGGAAAAAAAATTTAAATTCAAATGCAGTCCCTTCACTTTGGTGATCTGAAATAGGCCCTGTTGACCACGGTGTTAGCAAAATAGAGATTTGGAAATGGTCTAAATTGTTTATTACAGGGACAATAGAATTACGATATGTGAAAGCAATGGGACAATTTGCAGTCATTAAATTGACAGTTATGAAGACTACACAGTAACTTGGAAGAAATGCTTACAACAGAATGCTAAATAAAAACCTAGATATAAGAATGACATCTGAATATTCTATCTAAAATTCATGAAAAGGGAGGGAGATTTGACAACATGTTAACAGTGGCTGTGTTAGGATGACCTTTTTTTCTTTCCTTTTTAAAAACTTTTCTTTAATACAACTGGTTACCATTTTGCTTAAAGATAATTTTGAATTTTTTGGGAAAAAATACTTTTAGGTAGCATATTTGTGAATTAACTATTCATAAATATTTCTAGGAATAATACCAGCCAGCAACAGTTACCTGCAGAATTTGTTTTATTATAACTAATGAGTAAAACCCTGTTTGACAGAAACTAGTAAACTGAAATTCCCCAAACCAGTCTGCTCATATGAAGGACAGCATTAAAAAAATTTTTATATTTTCTGACCCAGTGATGATTCTTCCAGAATTTAATCCTGGGAGATTAAATTCTGGCAGACAGGGAGACAAAATAATTCAGGGACATAACTGTTAATGGCGTCATTACAGATACGTTGTGAAAACCAGAACTAACCAAAAGGTCCACACAGAGGAATGAAAAAGATGCAGCACCCACTTGCGAAATAGTATTTTATAGCTATAGGTCACAGCGATATGGATGGACCAAGGCCTCTGGACACTGATTTAATTAGGATGCAAAATTCAGCAGGACTCCAAAGATGTCTTAAAATACACTTTTTAAAATTGCTAGGAAGGTTATATCAAAAGGTTAGCTGTAGTTATCGTGGGGAGAATTATTTGAAAAATACAGAAACAGACAAAGCAGACAATAAAAAGTCCCTTTTCACATTAAAGTGTAAGTTCTCCTGCAATTTTCCTCCCTTATAAACATAGACATGTTTTACAAAATAACTTTTCTGATGATTAGAACACTTTTGGAAGCTAGTAAAATGATGTTTTGGAGGTACAGGTATGGACAATCTTATTATATTGATAAGCCTTTTTTTTTCAAGGAAGGTTTAAAACAGTATCAAACAGTGATTCTCTTTACGTAAGGTGTGTTGATGAGCACAGGACAAATACGAACAGTGGTTATCTCTAGAAGGTGCAGCTAGAATTGCATGATAATTTAAATTTCTTCTTTATGCTATTCTCTATTATCTCTGAGTGGCATGATTGTGAGGGATTTTTGTTTCTCTTTTTATGATTTTTGTGGTATTTTCAATATTTCTACAATTAGACTGTAACTCATTTTATAATTGTGAAAAGATATTAAAAGGTATTAAGTAGGGTAAGCCTCATCCACCAGCTCACTCTTGGTCAGGCCACCTCCCCCTGTGAGCAGACCACAGCCCACTCTAGGGCACTGGGGAGCTTCATCAGCTCCTGGTGCTTTCCAGTGTCCGTGGGTACAGCCTGGCACTGAGCGGCACTTTCTTTGTTGAATCCTTCTCCCATTTTCCCAATGCTGACTCCCTTTTTCTTAGCTTTCAGAGACATACAACCTTAGACATCCCCAGGCCTTCCACATGTGGGAAAGAAAACAGGTGGGGACGAGAAGGGAGAAGGGAGGAGAAGGGAGGCTCTGCTGAGCAGTCACGTTTAAGGCTCACTGCTCATTTCTGACTTTTAAATAATTTGCTGGAAGATGAATTCTCACTGTTCACAGCCCTTTGAGTTTCTGCATAGTTTGGAGGCAAACAGTTCGCTAAACTGCATTTCAAAACTCTTCCTTTTAATGTGTTACACTGTGAAAATCAATCATATTTAGGTAAAACTTTTTAAAAAGTTAAAAGCTAAAATACCAAAATGCTTTGTTTTTTAAAAAATGTTTCCCTCGAACAGTACAACTCATTTTTTTTAAAGCTACCCCCTAGGCAGGAATGCACAGTATTTTTTGGTTTTGACAGTAACTAAATAGTGGTTTCTGCTAAAAACACCACCACATAAGAAGGTGGGGCAGATACCCGGGAGGACTACGCCAGACATAGGGACATGCTCCAGAGTGGAACTGGCCTGACTTCTGACAGCTCCTTTCTGACCAACAGTAGATATCTGTGTACCAAGCTGGGGTTGACCGTTCCCAGACAGCACAGCGCTATCCAGGACAATGGGGCCATCACTCCTGTCACCTAAGGAATGGGTCCAGAGGAACTGTGAAACAATATGGTAGAGTGGACACTCATCCAGGGACCAGACAGACATGAGCTCAAACCCTAGTGTCAACGTGAGCCAACTTAGAAAGAGACACTCCATCTCTCAAAATCCCTTCAGTCACTTGTAAAATGGAACATTTGTGCAGTTTTGAAAAAATGAAATGTGACAGAATATATAAGGTGGTCTTTGTCATGAAGACCTTAGAAGCTCTTGCTCCAAGAGATAAGAAAGGCTTCCATTACCTCTTCCTCTTGGGGATGTGCCGGGGGCAAGGCCAGGGGTGCGGAGAAGAATGGTGGGCATGGTATATGTTTTAGGAGTCATCAAATATTCTAAAGGGAACACCTC